GAACTACAGCTTTGCTTAACTTCATTTGGAAGCATTATGCTGATGTCATCCTTACTTCGTGCTCCAAAGAATTAGGCAATTCGACCAGTTTCTTATCTTTATCTCGAAATCAAAAACTATGTTGACATTGCTCATCCACTCAAACTGCGAACATACGAGCTATAAAAGGAATTCAAACTACATGTTATTATGCGGCTAGGTATATATATATCTTTATAAGCAGTTTCCTCTGTGAAAGAGTTCGTACGCATTCGTAATTCCTCGTCTTTTCGGTAGCATGTATTCCCAATTCTTAAATGAAACGGCATATTACAAGTCTCTCATACATGTATATATATATACATGCACATATATATACATACATATACGTGTACATATCTGTATATATGTTGTGGCATCTGATGTGCCCAGCATTGTGTAATAAACGAGAGTCGCTATTGTATGAAGTATAACATTGACACAACATGTTTAGTGTCTCAGAAATCGTATAAAAACACTATATATGGGAAAAGAGGATTAAAACAATTGTAAATGACAAAGCTCTCCCATACCTGCTAAAACTTTGACGATTAAAGTAATGGCAAACAAAAAATTTGTGTTTCTGCGTCCAGCCAAGAGTTTGAAACCATACTTTCCACCTTTTCTCGTACCAGTAAACATTTCTTGTAATATAAGACGTTTAGGGAAAAAAGATTGAATTTAAATACCCGTGCTTCGTAAAACAAAAGTGGTTCCTTCCCAGCTCAAAAAAATAAAGTGAGAAAAAAAAAGGAACAAACACACAAAAACACAGCTAAGTTCAAAAACACCAAAAATTTAGGAGTGAACGGAAATGAAGCAGCCCAAAACGTGATTGATTCAAATGAAATTAATGCCACATAATCCTTGTTTTATTCATTCGTTTTCAATCGAATCACTAGTGAAATATGCTCGCGTTGCGATGTTCTCTTTGCAAATGACTTTTAGACAGCACCCATCAAGATCGAAGGGCGCTAATCGAAAGAAATTTGAAACAAAAAAAGTGATACAAAAATATTTCCCGCTCGTAATCGTTAAACTTCAAAGCAGCCATAAAAAAGGTAAAGAGGAACCATCACTCAGTAGGAAAACTAATCGGAACTGCAGAGAGCATATAGCGACTTTCCTACTGCTCACAATAAAACCACAATATGCAAGAATTTATTGTTAAAGAACATAAACTTTTCAAATTCCTGTTTCCCTAGGTACTTTTGTAGAGCGGGAAATATTCCTTGGTTTAAATCGATAAGAATGGAAACAAACAGTTGTGTGCACACAACAACTCATTTCATTTTTGTAACCAATTTTCTGGGATCGACCCATTTTTTCTTTGACAATACATGGAACAGGAGAGACAAAGAGAATACCGTGGAAACATTATTTCAGACCCAAACAGTATCCCTCCGTACGCATCGCTCCCAGCTCAAAAAATAAGGGCCTACTTACTTGCATGCAATCTTTTGCCGAGTAGTAATAACAATTGCGCAAGCGTTTTTCGATGGTATTCATATCCATTGGACGCTTGATCACCTTGTGATAATCCTTCAAAAATTCAAGCAGTTATCACTAGTCCCTATCTTCGAAACATTTAGAACATCTCAACCTATCGCTTGCACACAGAAACCATGATCAAACAACACTCAGCTGAATTTGCATAAAAATTTACTCACATTATATAAAAAAACATACCGGCAATCCCAGACGTACAGCATCTACAGGTTTCATAAACGGCCAAGCGTGCTTATGACGCATCGCTGGTTTCAAAACTTCCTTCAACATGAATTCCAATTGATTTGTATGCCGTGTGGGCTTACCTGGCGGTGGGATCACGCGCGGCTGTACTACTCCATTAATTGCTTCCTAAAAAAAATCGGAAACAGCTGAGTGTTTAAATGAAACTAACATGATTCCAATGTTGCCTATACAAACAACCGACACCCACACTCAGTGAATTACGTACAGGACAAGTGCATCAAGTTAAACGGTAAATGAACCTGCCGCGGTGACTCCCAGCCATTTGTTGATGGCGCAGCTGCACCAACATCAGTAGCACTATCATCATTATCTCCATCATCAACATGCTGTTCTGAAGAGGCTCCTTCGCCATTTTGCGATCCCTCAATTTGAATGTTTTCCGCGTCCAGCGATGTTTTCTCATCCGATGCAGATGGGTTTTCCGACGCTCCCAGGGTGCTGCCGCTAGTTGTTACTGGCTCATTACTGCTACTGTTTGCATTTGAGGTTGAAGCCGCAGAAACAGACATTTCTGAAAATTCTTCAAGAAATAGTGTAACGCACAGCATGTATAACGCAAGAGAACTCTAAACAAATCGGTACAAAAAGAACACTGACTATAAGGGACAGAATGCAACATAATCGACAAATAGGAATCCATGCATATCTTCATATTTTCAAACCCAGACTTTCTGTTTTCAGCGCTGATCCAAACTTACAGGTGCTTACGCTTCACACAATTTGCGCAACGACTGCACGGCACATATTGTGTGTCACTAACACTCATAATTTCTCTACAGCCACGCAGTACACCTGCCTTCCCACCAAAGTTAACGTCAAGCTGACCTAGCATGAAAACTGCACCGTGCAAACCCAGAATGACAAAATCGTACAAAAAGCTAGTTCTGCAGAACACAACATCACAAAACCATGCCACAAAGAATAGGTTACAGGACTTTTTGCCTGCCAATTTAAAATACAACCATGTTATTGAAATGTTTTGTTTTATACGCATAAATTTTACGGGAAAAATCAAATGCATCAAATAATGAAGGAGATGGAAGACTTCGCACATGGTTTACCCAAAGACCACTAATCTATCCCAAAATATGCATGTTACGTGAAACGTGCGACAAATCCTCCACATGTATTATCTTTCCCAGCACAACTATGTTATATCGATCGGTCTGAAATGCTATCAACACGTCAGCACGTCAACGCGCGCGCACGCACGCACGCATCTTTGGCCTTCGCAACGCGCATGTCTGCAGCACACACAGGAGTACGCGAAAAAGGATGCATCGACAGATCAGCAGAGAGGGAACTAAACGAAGAACAATGAAGAGGTATACGAAGAGAGAATCGATCGTTATTACAACGATAGCGCAGCACCATACACGCACTCTAAGGTAGAGTACATGACGTGTCTGTTGCAACAACACATGCCAACAGATCGATCGATATCCGGCTGTTTCGGGGGCCGTCTCATAAAATAATTTGCTAATGAAATAGGTGGACAGAACGGATAGTTTTGCTCTTCATTGGATTTGACGGATTTCCTTTTAATTTCGATGAACTATGCATGCAAATATAAGGAAAAGAATTCAGATTGATAGTATGATGATTTGCGTCACGACATTCTTCATCTCGGACACACAAATCGTACGGAAATCGAGAACCAGGCCAGAACGAAATCAACAACCACGACGTGACGTGTGGCTGACGTGAATTAGCAAGATGAACCAGGTCAAACTACATCAAATTTGCAATAAAACTCACAGAAGAACGCGTAAAAGCGAAGCGAAAGTGTGCGCGCACGCGCGCAAATAGCAGAGAGCAGCCGACCAAACCAGCGACCTAACTGACAATGACCAACCCAACCGCCCAGCTCGCCAACCTTATACTACTCTAATCTGATTGGCTGTTGCCATAACAACCAAGTGATACTCAGTTTTGTCATAAGCAGCATCAAGATACTGTACTGCGCTTTTTTTTGAATTATGAAATCTCTTCAAAGGGATGCGCACCATCATTGTACTACCACTGGATGCCGCGATGTTGATTTTTCCTGGGAATCTCACATACATTAATAGTTCACCAAATGACGATGGGTTTTATTTTGCAGTTTAATGAAGAGAAAGAGTTTGCTTTTAAATCGGGCTAAATTAATGGTAGCATTTTGATTTGCTTTCAACAGTTCCTACTACTTTCTCCTCCCGCACTAAGTTTTCAACTATCACGTGAATGTGAATATTTCCCTCGAACCACATTCGTAAGAAGTTAAAATTTGATCCAATCAGCAAAGAAGTTGAAATGGTCGAAATTTAATTCAATCAGCAAACGATCATCTTTCGAAAATATTTCTCTAACCTACGCTTATAAACTTTCCTAAGGCATTGTGCATTACCTTCATTATCTTATTTCTTTTTCTATACCGACTATTCCTTTTTCGTTCATAAACAATCACACCATTTGGTAGGTTCTTCAGATCCCATTATGAGATGGAAGAGTAAATTATTTTCATGACGGTTTAATCGTACTAATATGCAGGCCGCGTTACATAAAGCCCTGGTTCTATATCGCCGTAGGAGACGGAGGGCCGAACTGCAGGTGGTTTAAACATTTTCCTACCATTCTTCCTCCCTGCTGTTCTTGCTTTTTCTCTTCTCGTACAAATTTGTTGATATTTGGTCGCAATATTGGGATTATGTTTGTTTCGTGATTTGTGAGCTATCTTTTTATACTGTTGAAAATAACAGTTTATAAAAAAGATGGCGACGGTAGACAACGTACTTGTGCGCGATGTGCTGAAGATGGAACGAATCGGAGCACATTCCCACATTCGTGGCCTTGGATTATCTGCAAATTTGGAGCCAGAACGGGTTTCTGAGGGTATGGTCGGTCAAATGGAAGCACGACGGGCTGCTGGAATTATCGTAAAAATGATTCAGGTATTATAATCTAATTTATAGTCTCACATAATATCTCAAGCAATCTGGTATATGACTGATCCATTTCTTTTTCCTAGGGTCATTTGGCTGCCTAACATGTCGCAGTGACATGCCACAAGACATATGTTTCCAAAATCAATGATGTTCCCATCGGTCATGCTATCACCTTCTTTTTATTCATCCTTTCCATAATTTACCATCAAAACTAGGTGAGAGAGATGGAAATTAGTAGTTGATGGTTTTCAAGTTGTGTTGTTGGCAGTTGTGATTCTTAAAAATCTAATGGAGTGGTAGCTTTATTTTATGTAATGGCAAATTAGACTGCATTGTTTTTCAGGACGGCAAAATCTCAGGTCGAGCGGTGTTACTAACAGGTGAACCAGGTACTGGAAAAACAGCCATTGCAATGGGCTTATCACAGGCTCTCGGCGAAGACACTCCATTTGTGTCCATAACCGCTTCTGAGGTCTTCTCAATGGAAATGAGCAAGACTGAGGCATTAATGCAAGCTTTTCGAAAGGCTATAGCTGTACGAATCAAGGAAGAAACTGAGGTACACACTTTTTTACCAAAACGTAACTGCCCTGTTATCTCTTTATTCATGTGTTTTTCGTGCTTCCTGGTACTCTGTGGTTTATTTTCCATGGTCAGGCCAAGTAATCTTTAATCGGATTGAGTACTGTTAACAATGTGAAAGCAGTTTATGCTTCATAATATTTGGTTTTTGCTAACTCATCTTTATTTTGGGTATTGGAAGGCGAAGTTGTAAGCATTGAAATCGACCGGCCAGCAACTGGTGGTGGTACAAAAGTGGGAAGGCTTACAATGAAGACAACCGATATGGAAACAGTTTACGATCTTGGCAATAAAATGATTGAAGCATGTACAAAACAAAGAGTTGCGACAGGCGATGTGGTACAGATTGATAAAGCTTCAGGTTTTCCCGTATTCCACTTATGATACTTATACTGAACATTACTGACCATGCTAGGGGAGATGCCTGAGTTACATCTGAACAATTGATGGGTGTACCTACTGACGTGACAAATCTTCAGCGGGAAAGATCAATCCTAGAAAGAGAGGTTGAAAAATTACTACCCATTTCGGGACACCGATAAGCAATATGATTTCCTTTAGCACTAACTGTATTACAGCACTTACTGCACCCAATAAAATTTTCGTTTCACAGATTTGATGAGATGCGGACCAATGTAAAACTTGTTGCAGGTCGTATAACAAAGATTGGCAGATCATTTTCACGCACTTACGACTATGATGCAGTGGGTCCGCAGACGAAATCTGTACGATGCCCTGAAG